TCACAGGGCAAATGTGAATTTCAAGGAAGGCCAGGCCTTTTGTCTTATCATATTCTTTGATGGGATTGTCAAGAAAGCAACGGTTTATTTGCTATAACACTCGACTACGTTACTTATTTTTCGCATTTAAGTATTGTTTCGAGATTACCAGTAAATCAATACTATGAGATGTATTCACCCGATTTCGTTTAAAGCGATGAAGGACTGGCAGTAGAATTTTCCCACAATGATATGAGTTGAGTTGACGTTTCCATTGAATTTCATATAGCCTTGATTTCCCAAAATTGTTCTCATCCGGGCTAAAGCGGACCGCAGTTTCGACCTCGCATCGGTCTTATCAGCACCCACAGCGGGATTCGAACGGTGACAGTGCAGAATGGGAGCTTGACACGTTAACCACTCGGCCACATTGCCACGAAGGCCCGTGGGTCAAAAAGCAAATGTGAATTTCAAGCAAGGCCAGGCAGTTTGCTATATCATATTCTTTGGTGGGATTGTCGATTAAGCAAACGTATATTTGCTATAACAATCGACTACGTTACTTTATTTTTCGCATTTAAGTATTGTTTCGAGACTGCCTTAAACGAAATTGCGTGAATACATCTCATATTACTGATTTACTGGTAGTCTCGAAACAATACTTAAATGCGAAAAATCAAATATTTGAGTAATTGGTGGTCTTAAATGCCTACTTAAAACTAAAATAATTACGGGTAGCATAGTATTTTGAAAAGTAGCAATTTATGCGACATAGGACGAATGCAGCTTTCATTTGAGGACGGATAGTTAAGTTTTTCCATACTCGCATATCTAGGCCTCACGATAGCGTTGAAGGCCATCTAGCGCTGGTTTAATCATCACCTAAAAACGGGTTTCGAAACCGGGTTGTGAGTGGCCTGGCGAGGTTACCTGTGATTGTGTCAAAACTCCATTGTTAGGCAACACTTACTGGTAGTCGCGACAAGCACTAACACAATTCTCGACTTGGTGTCTTTACCAGATTTCCTACCAACTGGTCTTGTGTCTCCGGTGACATGACCACTGGGCCGAGGGCCGATTCGCCCAAATCTAAAGTACCAAATGCAATGCGATCAATCCGCTTCCGAGCTACAGCGCGGCGACCCGACGCCTCGGTGGCCTATCGGTTGGTCTGAAAGACGCAAATCCCACTGTCCCAGCAGCCCGGTTCGGTAACAACGACTCACCAGAATTCTTCCAGCCCCAATTCCAGCACCAAGTGACAAATTGGCCGGTCGTCATCTCGCGGAAGCGGACCTCAAACAGACCCGCCATCATTGCCAGGAATCGGACATCCTCAGCCGGCATAAAGATCATGTGACACCGGCAGAGGAGGCCGTCGAGAAGGAGCGGATGGCAGCCGAGTCGCGGAGCGACAAATCGAGCCGCGTAACTGTGCGCCGGTTGACTCTTGCTGCGTCGATGTTGGTGGCGTGAGTCTCGCAGGGCAATCTGCAGACGCACCTTCGAGTGGTCGCAGAGGATCCAGGCCGTCTTCACCAAGGGCGACTGCGTCTTGCCCGGCTTCGGCTCACCGACGGCCCGGCGACCAGTCCGGCCCGTCGAGTTGCCCGTCTCCTCGATCAACACCTCCGTGTTGCCTTCGCCCTTCAGCAGCGCCTTGGCCGCCTCGGTTGTCGGAGGCCTGTCGTCGCCGAGGCCGGACAGCAGCGTCGGCTTGGCCGCCGGCCGACAGACCTCTTCGCTTCTCGCCTCATCCATGCAACCCGCTCGCCGTAGGCCTCCGAGTCCACTGCCCACGACGTGAATGAAGGCTGGCAAGACGGCTCGTTCTACACAACTCGAGCCTTCACCTCCGACATGAAGGCTATTCTCTCCGGCGCAACTAGCAGTTTGCCCATTGCAGTCGGTGCGTTCAACTGGACCGCTCAATTCGGTTTAATTTCAGCATGAACCGGACGAGCTGCGTGTCCAATCGATCCCAGACGAACAGGATACAGCCAAGCAGCAGCAGCAGCAGCGGCGGCGGCAGCTGGCCGACTGACTGACTGACTGACTGACTGACTGACTGACTGACTGACTGACTGACTGACTGGCGCAAGAGCCACAATGTTGAACGGACTCGCGATTCGGGATTCGCGCTCGGGGCTGTGTGCAAATGGCGAGATGTTGTCGGAGATTAGTCAGAGGACAGCTTCTTCCAAGTGTCCCCTTTAAGAAGTGGTGTCGGCTGACTAGTTCGCACCAGGGCAGATGAGACAGTATCGGTTGTGGCGCCCACCACGAGGCCTTGGTCAGAGAATGCGAGCCTTAACTTTCGAAGTGAACAAGCCTAGCATGTATCACGTTGCCTGCTGCCTGGCTGTGGTGCCGTCAACTGTGGAACTGATGGGCCGAATACGATCCGGTCTGAAGAAACGATTAGCCGGTGGCTGAGAAGATTCTGGTAGACACACTCGGACTAGAAGACAGTGGGCGAGGCCCGGGATCCGCAAAACAATTTTGAGGTGTATACCAAAAGGTGACTGGTATCTGGGCTTATTCGACTGGCCCCAAATGAGGTAATTTGTTGGAATGCGAGTGTCATTGTCAAAGCAACATTGTTATTTCTCAACTAGCCGTAAGCAGCCTAGGCTCACCAAGCTCTTAGCTGGTTTCCTTCTGTGGCAGTACAGGAGCTGGATTCACTCCAATTCGTTTGGTGCGATAAAGGACTGGTAATTAAATTTTTCCAAAATTGATATGAGTAGGCTTCAAGTTTCTACTTAATTTCATACAGCCTTGCTTCCCACAAGGTCTTCTCATCCAGACTCTATTGAACTACAATCTCAACCTCGCCTCGCTTTCGTAAGCACTCACAGCAGGACTCGAACCTGATTTGAGGTAATATAGCGTATAGTGTGGATACATTAACCGCCCCGCCACATTGCCACAAGGGCATATGGGCCGCAAGGCGGTTCAGCTTCGAGAAATCATAGACCTCTCACATATCACAATTACGTAATCGGATTGCCGACGAAGCGATGTTGCATTCGCTACAACCATCGAATGCATAACTTGGCTTTCTGGATTGCCAGTAAATATTCTATTAGAGCTGTATTCATCCCATTTCGTTGTAACATGATGATGGAATGGCAATAGAATGTCCCACAATCATAGGAGTAGGCGGAAATGTGATATGGAAAAGGCCTCGACTTCCGTGAAATTCACTTTCACCCTGTTACCTAAGGACACTCGTGGCAATCTGGCGTCGTGGTTACTGTGCATAGACTCTACACTGCGCCAACAAAATCCGAGCTCGAGTCCCGCTGAGGGTGCTGATGAGACCCAGGCGACGTCGAAACTGTACTTGGTTTTGGATGAAAATGCGTTTTGGCGAGCATTATGGGAAAATTCAACTAGCAGTCGAACATCCTAAAATGAAATAGATTTAGTACGGCACCGATATACGATCTAGTGGTAGGCTCCAATACATGCTTATAGACCGTAAATCAAACTACCGATCAGTCCTTCGTCACCCAAAATGAAATAGGGTGAGCACAAGCTCTTTTACCATTTTTGATGCCTAAATTTTAACATTAAGTGTGACTTATGATTTTTGGCAGCTTTTTTAATAAATTGTGGCCCTCGGTTTTCTATCCCACCACGAATGATTGCGGTAATAGTTTAATGTACAGGTGCAGGATAGCCCTTTTCCTATAGAAGGAGAATCTGGGTTTCGAAGAATCTATTAGTAGATTGATACTGGCATAATTTTAAGTTCGTTTGAGAAAGCGCGTGAAGGGGATTCGTAAGCTGTCCTCACCGGATACCCTAAAAAGGTTGTCTTGGACTTGTGAATGTCGAATTGTCCACAGAAGGCCTCGGCTCATTGCCATGCAACCTTGATAATTCTGTGCTGAGCTTTCGTCCGTCATGTGACAGTCATCGTCAGGGCCAGAAATCATTATTTACGAACAATCACCAATTCCTGGTTTCAAAATTATAACTGAACATAGGTTTGCACAAGTCATATTGAGTATAGGTATTCATTGAAAATATCGGTTCTAATTGAGTAGGAACTGGGACACACAACGTCGTTCAAAGTGGGTTAATGACTGATAGTGCAATTTTAGCCTCAAAAATGAGTTGCCTGGCGATGACGATGAATTTTATATGGCAATCTGCCCAAAAGGAGTTCTCGTCCAGACTGGACTGCAATTTCGACATTCATGGATCTCGCCAACACCCGAAATGGAATTGTAATTACTGATGGCGTCGAAATATAATCATATTTTACAAGTAGCGTCCCTTAATGTATTGGCAAATACCTGCTTGCCCCATTGACCATGCCACTATAAATGCGAGGCCTGAATTACTATTAAAGTCAAATCTGTCTTGTGAACCATTGACTATTTAGCGAACTGGGGGTGCTGCTAAGGCGAAGTCGAAACTGTCCACATAAGATGGAAAAACTTTTATGGAGGCAAGAATAAGTACATTTGAAATCTCGAGACTTATTTACACAAATGTGGGAATAACTACACTACCAGCCTATAGATAAGCTTAAACGGCTCAGGATAACTACATCATTGCTCATTAAAATTAGAGCTCGGATCAGCCACTGTAATCTCCGGAAGTAGATACGGGCTAGGATAGCGCGATCTGGTATCACTGGCACATAATGCTCCATGTCTCCACTATCCCACCTAGCCTTCTGCGGAGCTATCCTCAAGCGCAGATAAGATTTTGATACAAGAACTGGCTTACGAATCGGATAAAGCAATCGTTTAAACTTAATTTCATTTCCAACTCCTACATGCTTGGCTGAGCTCTGTCTTAATTTCCGAACTCACAAATTTACGAATATATATTTTATCAAAATAAAGTTTGATGATAGTTATGCTGTCGATGGATATCACTGACACTGAAAACTACTATGGTTACACGGAGACCTGGGAACAGAATATAAAAAAGATTTTCAAGTACAGCATATGATGTCAAAGTTTTGGTTAAGGTTGCAAGTCGACAAACAGCTCTCATCTAGACGTAGATATGATGACCAAGATGTTATGGCCTCTATTTTGGTTGCAGTCTTCTTTCGATGTATAGAAGTGGTCTGACCCCATTTTCACAATTTGGTCGTGTTGTCAGGTTGGTCTAGTCGGACAAACCTTGTCCGAGGTCTTCTGTTCTATGATGCCGGCGAAATATTATAATGTAACTGGTCCACGGTCGAATGCTGGAAATTATGATAACTACTATTGCGGAGGACAAGGTGAGTCCAACTATGTCGCCTTGACAACAAGACTAAGTTGTGAAAACTAAGTCAGTTCTTAGCTAGGTTTCTTTAAAAATGACATTAATGTTCTGCACTCCATTTTGCGAATTCCACTTGAAACCACTAGCTATAGATGAACAGCAAGCTCAGCTCCGACGTTTACAG